TATACCATGGAATCATGGAAAACTCAAAATATTTTTTATAGATTTGATTATAAAATCGATTGACAGATAAAGCAAAAAATTTGACAGAACGAGAGTAAATCTAGATTGAATCCAGAGTTACCAATCAAAAATGGCATAATTGTCATGTTCTTTTACTAAAAGACCCAAATTTATGACCTATTATTCTTTTACCTATTATTACCTATTATTTTAACTTTGCTCTATAGACTTTCTTAGCTCTTATCAAATAGTTTTTATACTAAATGCAATACATACAGACATAAAAGTTGCTAGTGGTAACCTAGAGTAAGATTAGATTTCTACTAAAGTTTTCTGTTAAAGCTAACCTGAAAGTCTTCACAACTTCATTGGAAGACTGCACTCAAATCAGATATCAAATGACTGCATTAAAAAACTGCAAAAATTAATAGCATTTATCTCTAAAATAGATATTTTCAAATTTTTACTAAGAAATCATTTTAAAGTCAAAGAAAGTTCCTTTTCTATGAAAAGAAAACGCAATATGTAAAATGAGAACTTGTCAGCTGTTAAATTTACTTTCATGCTTCTTTTGTATGACATTATATCCTTTTTAATTTTTATTTTCATATACTTTGTTTATTATTTTCCTTTCTTTATTTACTTTGTTGTTAAGAGTATTTTGCGTACATATTTTACCGTCAACAACAGTTGGCGTTGTAATGGGACCGTCCTGCAGGATCAAGTTGCTGCATAAAAGCCAAGCAGCAATACACTTAAGTACAAAAAAAAAAACAAAAAAAAACAAAAAAAAAATTAAAAACAAAATTTGAAGATAAGAAAACTAAATTGCAGCAAAAAAAAAAAATAGTAGAAAATTTCCTGGAAAACTTGCTAGAAAATTCACTTGAAATATAGTTACAATGGAAGCGGTACATCGCAAGGAAAATAGTGTAAACCAAAGGAAAATAAACAAACAACAATTTGGTATTTTTATTTTTTTTTTATTTTTTGTAGTTTTGAATTGCATTTGACATTTTCGCAAGTACTTAGCATAGCAAAATATAAAAGAAATTATAAATTAACATAAAAATAAGTTAAGTGAATACAGCACGGAAGAAAATAATATGGAGAAAAAATAAAAAAAATAATGTGAGTAAATATAAATGAAAATTGAAAAAGACTTTGGTGCTTAAGTGAAGTCAGCAGTTCTATGGCACTAGCAACAATCTCAAGCTCACCTTATCTCCATACGATTCCTCTTACAAGCATAAGTAATACAAAATACGAAATACGAAATGCGAAATGTGCCCTGCTCCATTACTCCATTATCCTTGCTCCTAGCGCAACATTGGAGCACAGCAGCTGCTTTTGTAGTGAACAAGAAAATGCCTGTTTTTCGTATTTGCGCCGAAAATGTTTTCAATTTAAAAATGTTTCCTTCGGCATTCCCTGCGGTAACCAAAAGGCATTTAAAAATTCTTAGTGGAACCAACAAAGGCAAAAGCACTTTGTCAACGTTTATAGTGCATCTGCCGCGTTGCCTGCCCTGCAACGCCAAAGTACAGAGCAACTGCGTTCCACGCCTTCCTACGCGTGGAATACATTTATATGGTATACATATAGTATAAGTCAGATATATACTATATAAACAAATATTTTTATTTACTTAAAATTTAGTTTTTTTCAATTCTTTATACATAAAACATAGTTGTTCTATTTATTTATGGCGCTCGAAAATATGCTTTCATTTTTCGATTCTGTGTTTTTATGCAGTTTTAATGCGAACGTGGCCAGGATAATGCACCTTTGGGTAAGCAAAATGGAGTTTTCAGTTTAGTTTCTGTTTGGCAAGTAAACATTTGTTATACAAACCAAGCAACTATGCTATATTTATATGCTAAAGGTTAGAGGAAAACAGCTATAAACTAAATTTTTTTTTTTTAAATTGAAACAATAAGAGTGGAAATAAAAATATAAGAAGAAGAATTATTCAAAGTTAATTTTTATGGGGAATTGAAAAACAACGAATCAGAGCTATATTGACCTTGCTGGAAGTCAATGAAGCTGTATATAAAGTGTATAAGATCTATAAAATATATAATGTATATAAAGTACATAAAGTTCATAAAGTATACAAAGTCCTTGAAGCATGTAAGTGTATTATAGATAATATATATAGATGTGTATTTTCGATTACATGCTTTAAAGTACGCAGATTTATTTTAGATTGAACCAAAAAATGTTGAAACTAAATATATATATATATATATATATATATATAAATATATATATATATTATTGCTATTGCAAATACCAAAGGCTTATAATATAATGTAATATAATGGTTTATAATATTATCAACATTATAGTATCCTATAATATTTTTAATCTTAAAAAGAACTAGTGAGCTTAAACTCGAATTGCTCGCTTCTATTAATTTCCTGATTTGAGTTAGTAAATCAGTTACCTAATAAATGAATAAAAAAGACGACGAAAATATAGGGGCTTATGTCAAAACACTCCAACTACAGTAAATGACTCAAGAACTTATAAACGCACATTAAACGCTTCTTTACAAATTGAATGGCTATAATTTACCTGACAAACTTCTATATGGCTTAATTTCTTTATAAGGTAATATCATGATACATGAGTGAATCTAACATTTTCTTTTTGGACTTTTGAGAATTTTCATTTTGGACAAAATTTTAAATTTTAACTATAAATAACCATCTTTTATTTGGTTTCACTTGGACCTTTGAGAATTTGCGTTTTAGACAAATTTTTAATCGTTGACTATAATTCATCTAAGCCCCTTTTTTATACATCATTCTTACATTCATTAATTTATTTTGCGAACCTTTGAGAATTTACGTTTTAGACAAATTTTTAAATAATTACTATAATTTACTTAACAATTTCACTATATATTTTTAAAGTCATTCATTTAAAAAAAAAATTCTAACAATATTTTTTTGGAAGTTAAAAAACTTACATTTTGGACAAAAAATTAAATGATCCAAACTGAGGTTACTTTACTCCCAGGTACGGTTATTCATTTTATAAGAGAAGGTTATATCTCTTCAACAACGATCAAACCAATTTAGTAGATTGGAAGCCTTTCCACCTTAAAAATGCAAGTTGCTTAAAATCAGGCTCTCCGAAGTCTCTTCAAAGTGCCTTGGTACATTTGCACAAATTGCAAGCAAAGAGAACTTAGAATAGACCCGGTCAAAAAATACATAAGAGACAGAGCCCTGAAGGTGTTCGCACTATCTAATCTCAGAATAGTCTCTAGTCGCACGGAGCGGTACACAGACCTTAGAACAGTCATCAAATAATCACGAAGCTTTTAGAGAATACATAAATTAGTCAGTGAGAAGAATAGGACTCTGCAGAAACCCTCACCAATCAAAGAGTGAAAGTGCTCAGATGCATTAATTCAAAAAAAAATCAACATAAACAGGTTTAGAAGCTTAGAGGAACATCATCCTCATTCTCTTGTTCCATGCTCTCTTCAATAGAAACCAAATATGATTTCAACTTCATGCTTCGTTGTGATTAATGTAATGTAAAGGAAATTATTTACTGAATTTATATTGTCATTGTGAATTTATTATGATTGTAATTACTTCTGTTAAAGATATATCTATCTTAAAGTAAAATATCAAACATTTAAATTTATTACATCTGCAATTGTGTTCAAGTTGAAGAACTCTACTATGAAAAATCATTTCTTTTTCTTATTGCATAAACGTACTGTATTATTAATTGCTTTCTAAAGTTGAAAGAAACTTTGTGGAAACTTAGTGCGGTCTTTTGATTTCAGTTTTAATATAAATTATATTTTCAAAACGGAACACATTGCGTACTATGACACAAAATAATTGTCATCCAAAATGCAATTATGCAGTCAGCAATTCAGCAATTCAGCCATCCAGGACTGGTGAAGGTGAATGCTCGCGTAATGACGAGAACTCATCAATTTCACATTTGGAGCAGCGTACCGAAGTGCAGTCAAAGAAACAGTCTGGTAATTGCGTAATTAAAACGTTGCAACTGCAAAAGTAACACACACACACACATAAATACCTTTCTGTCACCTGACAACCAATACGAACCAGCTAACTCCCATAAAAATTAATGAGTGAAATTATAAAGGATATTCGAAGTTCATGAGGAACGTGAAGGCATCCACACAATTAGCAAGTTTTGTAAACAAAATGTCGACACTGCAAAGGAACAGCAAAACAGCAAAATACCAGGGAAATACGTGGACATAGCATAAATGAAATTTAAAACAAAAAATAAAAGAAAATTAAATGAAAAATGGCCGCAAGTGAAATTATGAGTGTTGCCAATGCAACCAAAATTGTCAAGTGCAATGAACAGAAATGCAGATATTTTGGTCAATTATATAGCAAAAACAGTTGCAATTTGACGTCAAAGTAGATGCAAATAATTTATTTAAAAGAGTGAAATGAATTAAAGGAAAAGCAAACAAAATGTGGTTAATGAAAAGGACACCAAGCTGAAGTCTTGGACTAAAATATGGTAAAAAAAGTGGATTTCGAATTAAATTAAAGGTGACTTTTAAAAATTTCCAAAATATAATATTTAATCATATTTTATAGTTATCGTTTCACTATAAAAAAAATGAGAGCTTAGACTACATACCCACATCATCTACCAAGTTTTACTCCTTTGACAAGGGATAGTTTTCATTTGATATAAATACAGAAGAAAAAAAAATGCTGTATAAAATCTTGATTAAGTGTCATCCTCTTGTTCTGAGATGACCTGACATGTCAGAATAGTTGACATCTTTTACCTTGGCGCAATCTCATCTGCAGTGATGTCATATTTTTTATCTTTGCTCATATGTTATCATTGTTCCCAAAAATGTCATCATTCAAAAAACACTATAGTTGTGGCTAACAAAGAACAATTTATTAAATATTTCCACATTGAAGTTAAAAATATTTGACAAAAATTACCTTAATATCGTAGAAAAAATATCACTAATTTGTGTTAAGAGTACACCATTTATTGTAATAAGCAAATTTCTTTTTGTCTCACAAAAAATTTCAATTTACTTAGGTATTAAGTCGAGAAGCTTAAAATTTTTTCAATTAACTTTATAAAATTTTAAGTAAAATTTTAATGTATATGTGCGGTATAGTCCTTAGTTATGTTAAATTATAACGCTAAGTATAGTAAACCAACAGATCTATTGGTATGTTTGGTAGTCAAATAAAACATAAAAAATATAGTACTAACTTGAACCTCTAATCCAACCGATTATGATTTTTAGAGCGTTGTCTTGTAACTAAGTGAAATTCTTCCGAAAGAATGTTGCTAGCATGTATAATCTGCGTTGGACATCTGCTGGGAAAAGACAACGTAGATATGAAATATCATCTCTATCATATAAGCGACGTGGGTATGGAGAAGACTTTTGGGGAACCTTTCTACAGCCACTTGTATCTCGTTGCAAGGTCGTTAATAAATTATTTGCAGAAATTGAGAGCGGAAGGGCTATAAGTAATATTTTTTGAAGTATTAATCACTACTTAGAATGTAACTGCCGCCATATGATCATTAACCTTTCACTGTAAATAATCTTTAATTCGGATAGAAGAAGATGTTTGCTAGTGAGAATAACGCAAAAGTTTATAAAGTTTTCACGATATGACCTTTCCCTTCTTTATATACTATTAGAAACTATGAAAAATGAAAAGTTGTCAAAATCTACTCCACATTCTTTGATTGGCCAGTATTAGTCCTGTAATGGTCATATGAAGCGATTAAATTTAAGGTGATATACCTGTTACATATACCGGTTACATTCTTTATATCGTCAGTCAGTATTTTGATTCATTAATTTTAATATTTTAGATCCATATATCACATAAATTTTCAAACAACCAAACAAAACGATCAAACAGATCGCTCTTTAAATCGCTTTTATTCTGAGTCTTCAGATCTGATTTCAGAAATATCTTAATTGAAATCATAATCACAAGTTCAACTAGACTTCAAAAAACTTTTTACTCTTTATCATTAAGTAAAGAAATATCGCTTAGTACCACAATGATGCAGGTCCACATGATATATATACATATGAAATAAACACATCAAATAAATTATTAATGACCAAACAAGATTATTATATTCAGTACTTAACCCTTGCCTAACATGTCCTTAAATCTCTTTTATTCTGAGTCCACAGACGTTATTGCATTGCTTCCTCTATATATTCAATATTATTACATTATTAAAAATAAAAAAAATTATGTCGAAAAAACTCTTTTACAAGCAAGAATGTAATAAAATTTCTTCCCTTTTTTTAATGATTTTGCTCTGTAGCGCCTAAAAACATACAATATAAACATGTAAATGAAGCTTACATTCAGAAATCTCATTTTTTCACATTCGTTGCCAATAAGTAAAACTTGGCCAACGAATGGAAAAGATATTCCACACAGTTTACAACCGAAAAAACCACGTTTTTATGAAAATAATTTACGAATTGAAAATCAAATTTTCGTAGAATTTCCATATTCATCCGCGTGTGATGCGTAGCCTAGGAATGCAACATGTCGCAACTGTTGTTAGTGCAGCTCCGAGCAAAAAACTGTCGCACACTCACTGCATGCGTAATATTTTCAGACAACGATTTGACAAATGGAAACAAAAATATTATAGAGCTGCCAAAAATACGAAGGATAACAAGCCTACAAAAAAAATACAAAAAAAAATAGAAATAAACTAAATAAATAAAATGTGGTAGCTTTATAGGCGCACATGCAACTATTTCAACTAGCAAAAACCATGTACCATAGTTTGTGTCTGCACTTTTTCGTTGCACCGCGAAACTACCGAACCTACCGAATCTACTGAATCTACCCAACAGCCAAACAGCCAAACAATCCAACCAACCGAATGGGCTACTGACCAACCAAGTTACCATTTGGTCATTCGCTTGTTCATGCATTTTTCTTCACCCAAAAGTGGATTTTCAAATCGATGACAAGCCACAAAAACAGCACAGTTGCATCGTTTGGGTTTTTGATTTCCAGATTTCCTGCTTCCTTTGTTGTAGTTATTTTAGTTGGCGTTTTTTTGTCGTTGGTTGTGTCGTTCGTCCCATTTTGCAAACGAGAAATCGCAAATGACGCTTTGGGTTTTGTACGGCCGACCGCAGGCAATGAAATGAATGAGTAGTTGTCGGAACCCACGGTGTTGGCGGCAACATTAGCTGAGATTGCAACTTTTTTGCATTTTCTAAATTTTTTTCGGATTCACATTTTTACGCTCAGCTTTTGTTTTATCGTATTGCAGTTCATTTGTTTTAACTGCTTTTTGGCTGGTGTTCATTCTGCCGTTGAAATAGGCTTTAGCAAATGAAAAATTGTAGCCGTGAATCTGATTACTGAGACTGATCAACAATAAAATTGTTTCAAAAAATTTCATTCCTATTGTTTTTATTTCCGGTTTTCATTTTTATGTTGATTGTTATAAAAGGATTACGTCACTGTTGCTATTTGACTCTCAAAAATATACCTTAGATGTACGCATTCCGGTATCGAAGTCAATATTATTCTTTTATTTTTCATCACAATTAAGAATATTACTCAGTTCTGATACATATTTGTCTTTATTATTAATACTATAAGTGCTTTCCATCTCAAGTTTCATTTATCGTTTGAAAAATTTTTAACTCTACGTAGTTTTAAGGCAAAACAGTAGCTCAACAGGTCGATGATCCTAGCAGAACTTCTTCTGATTTTACTGCACAGTTTATACATATAAAGAAATGGATATACAATCATTTTGCACAAATTAGGTTTATTTGTGTAAAAGAAAATATATTTAATATAAATATTTAAGAAAATTATAATAAATAAAATAAAATGTTTTCTAGAATTAAATGCTAATGAACCCACATATCGATTAATTCATATGGCACATTATATTATTCTATTCACTGTCTCATAGTACTCTCATTAACAGCAGGTCTTCTTTACTCCTTTTTCCTTTTAAAACCGATATAGACTCTCTTAAGAATTCTTCCAACTTTTACATTTAAATATTAAGAGAAGACAATATGGTTATGCAGTTTATGCCAAGAAGTAGACGAGAAGCTATCAAGTTTTCAGTGATTGTGCAGATATTCACATTGTACAAAGAGACAAGTTACAAATATTAAAAATTTTTCGAAGATCCATAAAAAGTAACTATAACGGATATCGAAAGTTCAATAATAATTCTAAAAAATAAATTGCTTAAAATGACATTTTGATATCTGCAGTTAATCTAATGTATGTATGTCTAACGATTCATCAACAGTCTTCAAAGAATCTAGAGCAGTTTGACTGCTCTAGTTAATCCAAGAGATGTATGTCGAAATGATTCTTCAATAGTCTACAAAAAATCTGTAGCAATTTGACTGCTAAGTTAATCTAACAGATGTATGTCAAAAGGCTCATTAACAGTCTACAAAGGATCTGTAGCAGTTTGACTGTTCCAGTTAATCTATTGGATGTATATCAAAGAATTAATCAACGTTCATTAACCGTAGCAGTTTGACCGCTCCAATTAATCTAATAAAGGCTTGATCGCTTTCTTTAATCTAATCCTTGTACTGCATTTAAAAGACCCCAAACTAAAATTGATATTGAAACTGTAGATAATATTAAAAAGTATCTCAGCAATATTTGAATATGAAATCAAATTTTTTTTGATTTCAAAATATATTTTGAGTATAAATGATTTCAGCGCTACCAACAAAAGGACTCATACTACTAAATAAAGTACAATGGCATTATATTATGAAAAATAAGCTGAGTTTATTGCTTTTGTAAAATATATCGGCAACTGTAATAGGTAAATAAACTTTTATATGCAAAAAAAACATATGTTGGCGTATATTGTAAAAATTTAACGACAAATTTTTACTTATTCACCATTACACCAAGGAATTCGTCATAGCTAAGTTGTCCATCACCATCAACATCTGCTTCCTTAATCATTTCGTCTATCTCTTCGTCAGAAATCTTCTCACCCAAATTGAGTAATATATGTTTTAACTCAACACGTGACACGTAACCGTTTCCACTTTTATCAAAAATTTTGAAAGCTTCACGGATTTCGGACTCAGTTATGGTTTCCCTTATTTTATCTGCCATCATATTGGCAAATTCATTGAAATCAATCACCCCGTCACCATCCGTATCAATCTGATCGATCAGTGTCTGCAGCTCGGCTTCGGTAGGATTTAGACCCATTGTGCGCATAATAATGCACAATTCCTTTGTTGTGATGCATCCATCACCGTCACGATCGAAAACATCAAACGCTTCCCTAAGTTCGGCAATTTGCTCATCGGATAAGGCATCCATAGCTTTGCAGTTACTTTGTTTTTATTTTTTGGTTGTCGGTTGTTGGTAATAAGTTCCAAACTTATTTGGTGAAGATTTGCTACGCAGACGATGTCTAACGTTTGCGTTGGATTGAAGCAAATTTTGATGGACCAGAATTTTGAAACTATTGTTAACAATTTTATTTTTATTTGAAAACTTTTATATTTGATTTATCTTTTAACAATATTTTTGAAATAATTTCAAATTATCAAAGGTTACTATAAATCAAAACAAAAATCATTCCCAAAGAAAATAATTATTATTTTTGTAGAGAGATTTCGAGAAGTAGTAAACTACAACAACAAACATTATTTTTATATTATTTTAATGAATTTAATTTTTGACTGACTTTACAGCTGTTTCGAGAGGTTGCTAAATACCCATCATCAGTGGTCTTGGAATTATTTCTTGTATTTTCTTGTATTTATTATATTTGGCTAAAGTTGAGCACTGTATGTATGAATGAGTGAAGCAATAGACTTGTATTTTCATTGACAGTAAATACTGAATACAGCACAGCTGTAAACTGAATTGTTGCACACTTAAAACAGTGCTGCCAACTTATTAATTAAAGCACTGAGAAAAACAGTAAATAATTTGAATTCAATGTTATCGTAACGGAATTCTATAATACATTGTATCAGAGTAAAATCTTGGCTTTATTTAATAAAGTTCTTATTCGCAGAAAATATGAATTTTAAAAATATATATTGAATTTAACGGAAATGAAATAATAGAAATCTATATAACCAATTCACATGGCTTGAACACGAAAATAATTAGCTGTGCCAAAATTCTTCATCATCTCCAACCGCTATTCAAAAATGAAAATCTCAATTCCAAGAACAGGAAGCTGATATATATCCGTAACTTCTATTTGAATGTGTACCGTTTAACAATGCCTTAAACACTACTATTCGCCAGCTAGAAATTGCACAAAGCCATGCTCTGAGAAGACTTTTCAAGATACCATTGTACGTTAGGACGAATGACATCCTCAGGGACCTCAAGATTGATCCCATAAAAAAACACATGAAGGATAGAGCCCTTAAATTATTTACGAAAACTGACAGTCTTACCAACACCGCGTTATCAAATCTCAGAATGGTAACAGGCTCCTCGGGGAGGTATGCAGATCTAAGGGTCAATTATTGCTTAGTCTGATGAAGTGATAAACAATAATCCAATCAAGGCGTTGAGATGGGTTATGAGAAAACCTAGCAGTTAATAGCGAGTAAAAGTTCACAAGTGCACTGATTCAGCTAACCTTAACATATTAATAATATATTAAAGTTAAATGTTTCAAATTAAGTGAAATTTATTTGTTCATTAAATTCGTCTTAAAGTTTTCTAAGATATTTAAAGAAAAATTTATTCACAGCCATAAATTTTTATACACCAATTTTTTGCAATTTTTAACTTTCTTTTGTGAAAAAAAATTGTTTTTTTCTTGTTTTTTATTTTGCAAATCACACTATTTTTCCTCTTTTGCAATTTCCTCAACTAACTTCCGCAATTTAAAACCTAATTGCAGATGGCCTTATTGATCTATCATCCTTTTTAAATCAAGGCTTGTCAGGTTAGTTTTTTTTTATTTTCTTCTTACTCTCTTCTTCACTATTCTCACGTTTTTTCTTAATAAAAGTTCTTCTATTTTGCATGAAAATTTTTAATCAATTAATTTTTGCATGTTTTGTAAATAGTTTATTTTAATTACAACAAAAAAAAAAGAAAATTAATTATAATTAAAACTTTTAAAGTAAACCTTCAGGATTAAAGAGGATCTAAAGCATTTATTAACTTATGTGCTGCGCTTTTATTTCACAATTTTTCCATGAAAAATTCCAAGGAAATTATTTGAATTAACTTTTACAAACTAGTAATTTAAGTATATAAAAAAACGGAATGTATTTATCCTGTTCAAGTTCTAAACAGGATACGCTCTATAAAAACAAGGAGTAAAAAATAATTTTAATTTTAACTAATTTAAGTCACGTTATGCGCTTTAACTCCACATCAAATAGCTGCAAAGCTACTCTGTGAGCACTGGTCTAACTCAAACAATTGAACTTTGGCATATAACTCTTATCCAGCACTAAGGATATCTGAGAGTCAATAGTGCTAAGCCAACTAGCGTTGCATACAAGGACACAACATCATCGTTGTAATTGCGCGAGAAAAGCGAGAAAATACGAGAAAAGCGCACTTAAAGCTGTAAATTCAAGCCGTTAACAAGCCTCAAAAGTGCTGCCAGCGGTGCAATCAAAAAGCAAATCACTTTTGAATTTTAAAAACCAAAAACTGAAATGCAAACAAATACAGACACTCACACGCATACACCCATACACACATACACACATATATAAATGCATGCCTGCACTCGAGTCTAAAGCAAACACAGGTAAAGGTCACTCGAGTTGTGCTTTAGCGCTTATCATTGCACCGGGTCTATGTGTGTAAGTGTGTGTGTGTGTGTGTGTGTGTGTGTGTGAATGCTTGTGTGCCACTTCCGGTGATTTGCATTCGCGAGTCGTGTTTTTAATCAAAATACATTGGCGGAAAAATAGAAAAATTTTGAATTTCTCGCTGCCTCCCTTCACGTCCCTTCACTGAATTTCAGAAAATTTCAGAAAATTTCAGAAAATTTTAGAGAATTTCAGAGAATTTCAGCGAATTTCGTTATGCTGCAGTTTTTTCGCGTTTTCATTTTAACGCGTGATTTACTACAAAAACTTGCAATGTTGCAACCGAATTAGAAAAAGGATAATTGCATTTTCAGCACCTGCATACTTAACCTGGAACAAAAAATGCACATAATAGCGTGATTAGCTTTACGCCAGGAAGGGGTCACGAAAATCCTAGTGCAGAAAAAAGAACACAGAAAATATTCAGAGAAAAATGAAAAATGGAAATGGATTCAATGGCAAAAACTTGCAAATGAAATTTTCAGCTCAGGAAACAAAATACTTAAATTGTTGCTAAAATGTTAAAAATTTTTCCGCTTTTCCCGCACTTTTATTTGCAAAATGCAAATATTTGAGCGAGAAACCGAATAAAAGCGAGAAACTGAAATATGAACAATGAATACCATTTTATTTAGTTTTTATTTGCAAAATTTTGAATACAACAAAAGGATATTTAAAACTTATGAAAGCTAATGCTTAAGTGCACGTGAGAAAAAATTATTAATAAAAAAAATTATTAAAAAAATAATCTAGTTCAAGGTTATGAAGTGAGTTCGTGAAGCTAGCCTTAATAAAAATGGAAGATGATTTGGTGAGAGTAGGAATTTAATAAAATTTTTTATAAAATATATATACATACATTCATATTATACGAATACATATACATATATATATATATATATATATCTCAAGATTGATCCGTTCAAAAAATACATAAAGGACAGAGCCCTGAAATTATTTATGAAAACTGACAGGCTTACCAGCACCGCATCATCGAATCTCAAAACAATTACAGGCTCCTCGGGAAGGTATGCAGATTTAAGGCAATTATTGCTTAGTTTGATGAAGTGATAAACAATAATCCAGTCAAGGCGTAGAGAGGGGTTACGGAGTGACCTCGCCGTTGATAGAGAGTAAAAGTGCTCAAGTGCAGTAACTCAACTAGATTAAACATAAATAAATATAGTAAATATAGTCAGAAATCGGAAATATCAATTTAATAATATCAAAACTTACTTCGTTGTAGATATATCCTTTATACTAATAACTATACAACAAATCTTAAAAAAGTGTTTAATTCTTTTAAATAATTAAATACATTTCTTATATATATATTATAATATATATATATATATATATATATAAATATTCCTTTCTTTAATATTTTCTACTTTTCACTTAACTGAATTTCCTAAATACAAACAAATGCGTACAATAATCGCAATATTAATAGATCGATATGTTTTTGCAAATTTTTTTTTTGTACATAAGTTTTGCATATGCATTGTTGCAACTTGCTTTTCTCTGTTTTACAACACAGTCAGATATCAAAACAGGAAACCTACACTATACAACCTATAACCATTTCAAATAAGCGGACAATTCATAAATAATAAATTTATTACTTAATTACTTAACATATTGTCAGTGGTCGCAACCATTAAGTTCCTACTTATAAACTCCAAGTGAAGGCGTCCCAGTGAAGTGTTGAGTAGCTATCTGAGTACATATCGCCTTTTTAGGCCTCGCCTATTTTAAACGCATATTTCCATCTGCTTAAAAAAATGATTTTCTCTTTCCAATTGAATCTGTTGAGTCCTATATGACTTAACAAGCTCCAAAAATGCACTTTATAGTTTAAGGAATTTTTTGAAACGAAAACATTAATTTGATTAGTCATAAAATTTATAATCTGTATAGTTATATGAGGCCAATTAAAGTTATGATTATTGCTTGACAATTTTGTGTTTTTTTTTTCCACAATTATTTTAAAATATAGTTGGTTTCGATACTACTATTTAATGTTCCGAAATCAAGCTCCCATTTCCATACTTCTAAAATATGTTTAATCAATTAGACTATGAACCTCAAATGACGACTGCTATAAGATATATCTGTTCAATATCACTAAATTATGTGCAGGTCATAGGTACGTCGCTAGAACCCCACAGTACCATACGAAAACTACACATCAAGTACTTTTAGTCATAGATTTCTGAAACATGTATTATATGCTTGGTATCAAAGAATAGGTAGGAATAAAAGTTTTTTTTAACGTTTTTAAAAATCCTACCTACGTGTAGCAACTATGTGACCTATAATATCTGCTGCGCTATCTCTGGAGAGATTTTCCTAAGTTAGATTGAATAAGTTAAAGTGATTGACAAATGTAGGCAAATCAGCAGATCTTAGGATTTAAAACTTAAATTTTATTTTCAAATAAAAATATTATATATTAACATCATAAAATGATATAATTTAATACAATAATAATATAAAGGTATAACATATATATAATAATATAATAATATGTGTGCATTCGCCTCAGGAAGCATCTTCTGATTTAAATTTTGTTTAAGAACATCCGCATATTAATAATTTTTCTTTATGGTAAACATCGATTGAAATATTTTTAGGATGTTTGTTTTATATACGTTTATAATATTGTAGTAAAAAAACA